TCCTAACTGAATTGATAGCTTGTTTGGTGTCGAAGTGCACATGCTGTATAGACTGTGAACTTGCCAAATGTTAAAACCAGTCACTTTTTAAAGTTTCTGTGTGAAGGGAGAGGCTCTTTTCCTATGAAATGAACTGGACTTTTAAAAATATTGGTTGTTAGTCATTGATACGAGGAATTGCCTGCAACCCCAGCATCCATGACAGCATCTAGTACTTAGGAAAATACATTTAGATTGGTATGTCCCTTTGTAAACAGCTATAAGTCATAGCTAATAACCAGTGGTTACTCAGCCCTGTGTTACTGCAGGATAGTTAATGGGCTGAACTGTAACTACAATAAGTCTCTTTGTTTTATTAGTTTGTTCAGATGTACTGCTATCTATTGTGAATGCCACAGAGCTGTTGTGTTAAACCCTGTTAAACCTCAGTGCAGATTTATTTGGAGAGCCTCTAGTTAAAGCTTGAATGACACATATCTGTAGTAAGCAATTTATTAATATCCCAGAACACTAACCCTGCCAGCCTGCCTCAGTTAAGGGTGTGGCAAATGTCTCTACAGAGTGGATTAAGTTGGTAATTTTCAAATGCAGGAGGTAATTTTTCTTGGTCTTAGTTTCACATCTTGCAAACTGGCGTGGTCCAGATCTGGCATCAGGCAGCACAGAGATGGGGAGCCTGTGGTCACAGAACTGGTGCTACTTTACAGAAAGGGACAGGCCTGGATCCCCCACCCAGTGACTGCCATCAGTGAGTGCAAAGCTGCTGCAGCAAGGAGAGGATCAACTTGCAAAAAAACAGTATAAAGCTTTTCTGGTTGGCTGAACTGAGGAGAGGTGGCTCTGTAGATGTAGAAATACCTATGTTCCGTTTCACTGATGTGCAGGATTCCTTCCTCTGTTTTGTCTATTGTTTGGTGTAAATTAAAAAAAAAACTACTCTAACCAGTGGGGCTTTCACCAGTTCCTGTGGGTGATTGCTCCATGGCTTAACATGTTTGCCTGTCAGGAAGTTTTTCTGCTAATCAACCCATACTTTGCTTTCTTGTTTTCATCCCATCAGTCCCATTTTATATGCTGCCTGTTGTTTCATCTAGGGCAAATCACCCTCCAGATGCTGATACTCAATGTTACTCATTACTCAGTGATACTCAATGTAGAGTTGGTACACAGCAACCCAGCTACAGCATTGTTGATGAGCTGTAAATCCACAGACTTTAACTTAGCATAACTTGTTTGCTTGATTGTAACCTAGGAGTTTCAAAATAACCACCTTAGATTTAGGTACCTAAATAAATTTAGCTGTGATTTGGGAATCTGAATTCTTATGGTGCCTTGGATGTCTTAGCTATGTTTAGCTTTCTTGGTGGAAATAGAGCCCTTTTGCCTGTTTTTGTTGCTGGTCACCACATTCCTTCCAGCGTTGTGGTACTCTTTCCTGGCAGTCTTGAAAGGTACAGGAAAGAAATTGTTTCCATTCCATGTCATTAGCAGGGATATTGTGTATTGACTTACTGGTGGGCCCTTAGAAAGGACTGTAAATTACTTTGTGTAACACTCGATGTCATACCATAGAAGTTTGTTCTCCTTTCTCCCCCCTTACCTCTCTTCTGTACTTGCGAAGAGTCCCCGAGTTGAGCTCCCACACCCTGCAGTAGAAAAGCGTCCTGTATTGCTGGTCTGGTCCTTTTGAATGTTTGATGGTATTACCACAATGGTATATTTAAGTGGCACCTCTACTTCTGCTTTCGCTTTGTTATATTCTTATTGAAGCAGCCACATGGTGAGTGAAATTGGGTAGGAAACACAACTGTGTTATGTTACAGGGCACACAGCTTTGTGAAGGATTTTATATTTTGATTCCAGTCTTACACCTTTCCCCAAAAGGTTAATAACTGCTGTGGTACAGGTTTATAGGTGGTATTAAAACATTAATTTTAAAGACAGACGGTTCTACAATTTATTAATAATACTAACCATAGAATGCCAGGTTGGAAGGGACCTCAAGGATCATCTGGTCAGTGGCTGCATCAACCTGGACTTTTGTTCCTATATCCTGGGACCCAGCAAGGTAAAGACAGAGGTGAAGAAAGTGTTGAGGTGAAGAAGGTCTTGAGGACCTCTGCCTTTTCACCACTGGTGACTAGTTCACCTCTCCTGTTTAATATTAGCCAATATTATTCCTCTATTTCTGCTTGTTGTTAATGTATCTGAAGAATCTTTTCTTGAAGTTTCTGACATCTCTAGCCAATGTCAGCTAAAGCTGAGCTTTTGCCTTCCTAACTGCATCTCTGCATGCCTTGGCAATGCCCTTGTAATTCTTAACAGATAGTGTTCCACTTTTCCACCTCTGGCACATTTCCTTTTTGGTTCTGAGCAAACTCAGAAGCTCAGTTAAGCCAAGGGGGTCTCTTGTTCCACCTACTTTCCTTGCCTTTATAGGGAATGAACTGGTTTTGCTTATCTAGGAGAGTGTTCTTGAAAAACTGCCAACATTCACTAGCTCCTTTACCCTCCATGGAAGCTTCCCACATCCCTTCCAACTGAGCCCTGAGAGAGCTGAAGTTTGCTCTTCTAAAATGTAAGACGTTTGTCCTGGAATTAATCTTCATTGTGCTCAGCAGTATCCCAAACTCGACCATAATAATGTGGTCATTGCAGCCAAGTCTGTCACTAACCAAGGTATAACAGAGCAGGTTCTCTTGGTAGTAGTAAGTCCAGCTGTGCCCTGTTCCTGGTTGGCACATCCAGCATTTGTGTGAGGAACACATATTCCAGGAACTTGATGGATGTCAGGTGAACTGCAGTGTTGTTCCTCCAGCAAATGTCTGGGTAGTTGAAGTCTCCCATAAGGACCAGGTTTTGTTGACCCAGAGCTTACCTGAGCAACCCAAGTATTTCTTCATTGGTCACCTCGTCTTGGTTTCAGGGCTTGTAACTGATGCTCTCTGTAAGGTCTCCCTTTGAGACAACCCCTCTGATTTTGACCCAGAGGCATTCCATAGGGCTACCACAATTATTGTAGTTGACTTCTATACATTCAAGGTTTTCCTTAACATAGAGCACAACTCCTCCACCTCTTCTCTGCTGCCTGTCCTTACGAAACATAAGCAAAGCACCAACCACTTGCTGACTTCCCACTTCTTTTCCCTGCTATGTTATGAAATGCTTGAGATGTTCCCATTGTGGTGGGTATAACTGTCCTGCAACTGTCCTGGGGTGTGTTTTAAAGGGTTCCCATTCATTCTTAGGAAAATACTGTTTTCACAAAGTACCATTTGGGCATCTACTGTATTTTGGGATCTGCCCTCTGGGGTTTCCTTGCAAGATTTCAGGCTGATTCAGATGAAGCCTTTTGCATGTCGATTTGTTTTTCACTTTCAAGTGGATTTGCCAAAACAATGTTGGCAGTTTTTTGCATCCTTAGTTTTCCAGCTTCTCCTAAAGAACACTTAGTCCTTTCTGAAAAGGTTCTCAAAGGGCATTCATCTAACTTGTCATCTTTTATTCGTATGTATTGCATTGCTCCTGGGAGTAATCCTCCAGCTGTAGCGTGGTGCTATTTTATCCCCCCGCCTGGCATTAGCAGCTGCTGCTTGCCTCTGGCGAAGAAGACAAATGGTTATTGTGTGCTGAAGCCATGCCAGGTCTTCTGTGTCTCCGTTTGGTCAGCATTGTTGTGTTTTATTTAGGATCTAGCGGCATTTGAGTAACACTGGTTTATTTTGAACCCTTCCTTCTCCATCTCTCCCATCCCACCCTGTTGATTTTTTTGTTTAGGGACCTGGACTTACTAAAGAAAGACAACCCAGCCCTATGGGCTCTTTAGTAACCTGAAAATAATATGCTTTGGGTAATTTTTCTTTCCTTACGTTAGAAGTTTTACAATAATTGTGAGGGGGATATCTAGGCTTTCATAAAAACTTCTGAGATTAGTTTTGTCTTCAGTTAAACTAACTGGTTTGAAAGAGAAATTTCACTGATTTTGAGCAAATTGTTGCACTCGAATTTCACTTGGGAGAATGTGAATAAGCAGCTCAGCCAGATGCCTTTCAATATTTCTTTCTGAGCAAACACACCCTCAGCAAAACCAAATGACTTATCTGGCTTTTCTGTCCACCCTTAACCTATGTCTGCAATGCTTGCTTCCTTTGGCTATGCAAACAAGGCTTCAGCAGTGCTCCCTCTGTCGCTGCTCTGAAAAGCAGTTGACTTTACAGGACTTCTTCCTCACTGCTGAAGGTTCGTTATTCCCTGCACCCCCTTCCTTGCAGAGCCTGTGCTGCCAGACCAGTGACATGAACCATGTGGGCGAAAGGTTTGTACGAGGGGCTCTCACTTAAGACAAGTGTGCTTCTATCTTCTCTTTAGCCAGGCCTCATTCAGCAGTTGTAGCCATAAGGAATGACATGGCCTAACTAATGATGTCATGAGCAGACAGTCCACTCATTTTCTTAGGAAACTGATGATATCTCTTGGCCATCTTCTTAGCCATAAGTTAGGGAAATTGTTTCTCTGCCCATGTTGGAAAGGGCATATTCAGTCAGTGTATTTTAAATATTTCTTGAAGGATGTGAAAGGCTTTGAGCAGCTGGAATAACTGGAGGGAAAAAGTGTAACAGGGGAAGAAAATGGAATGTCAAAACTCAAGATCCATCGGTATTAAAATGAGTTTCCTTCTTTAAAATTTCACAGCTGGAAATGTCACATTGCCATCTATATGTTAAAGGTTGTTGTCTCCATGTCTTTCCATGTTAGGAAAAAGTCTGCTTATGGTTGTCTAGAGATGGGAAGGGGACTTTCAAAAAGGGCTTTGACATTTACCCAAACAACAGCAATACCTTGATTATGCCAGCCAGGTGTTTCAAAACATATTTTTCACTTCTAATTTCAACCCTATAGCATAATGTAAGTTTGTATTTAGCAGCAACTTGAGCTTAAATTTGGGAGATACTCTGTATCCAGAAGGTTGGGGGCAAAGAACACTCCCAGCACCTGCAACCATGGCCAAACTGGCCCCTAAGCAGTTCCTGCTGTTGGTCAGCAGAAAGCAGGTATGGAAGACAGCTCCATTGTTTTTCAGTCTGTATGTTTTCCTGAGAACTTGGCATGAGTTCAGCACTTCAGGACAAGAATGTAGATCCTTCAGCACTTCCCATTTGCTAGCAAGTTACATTTTCAGTGCACTGTAGGTCTTGTATGCATTAGACACTGTGTATGGCTGCAGTTGTGTTCAAGGCACCAGGAAGGTCTACCTATGGTTTTGGATGTGGGTCTCTGCCTCTCCCTACACTGCTTCTCCCACACTCTCCCTCTCACTTCCATGAAAATAGGAAGAAATAAGGAGAAGTCACAGTAAGTTGCCATTTATTAGCACAGCTATGGAAAAAATCCCTTATTAATGTAACATATGGCCAAAGTTTCCTGAGACAAACAGCTTTCTGATTCATAGTTCTCCAACATTCTCTGTTCTAGCTCAGACAAGTTGATTGTTTCCTCCCACCAGCAGATGCAGACAGGAACAATTGGAGCTGTGATAACATTATCTTTAATAGGGGCCAGCTGGGTCACACACCTCAGTCTTTCCTGTCTGTAAACAGCAGTGAGGGATGTCCCCGCAGGCGCGGGAGTAGTGACGGTGCCAGCTGACTGAAGAGGAGGGAGGTGCTGGTTCGGCAGCCATCCTTTGCTGTCCAGTATGGATGGAGGGAAATAAAGGGGGCTTGTAGAGAGATGCAAAGCAGTGGAGAGGGAAGTCATGGTCAGAAAACTTGAAATGCTCCTTTTAGTTTCTCCAGTGAGGTGAGAATCAGGAGTTGGGCAGCTATGGTTTGGCTGCCTTCTGGTGGGAGTCCCTGCCCAGTGCCACCATGTGAACACTGCAACACAGCTTTGGAAGCAGCCTTTGGAAATTGCCTTACCAGCTCCTGCTGGGAAGCAGTTAGCTTTTTACACTGCTGCAATGTGTAGAGTAAACTTCATCTGCAGGAAATCTTTTGCCAGTCTGAGGTTTTAAGGCAGCTTTTCTGTGCTAGTGGGTTGAGCAGGTACAGTAAGTCAGGGGATGCAAATGGGGCAAATTCTGCTGTTTTTTCAGCATGGTCCATTAAAATCCTCATTACGTGGAAGTTTTCCCTGAAGTTTTATTAAGCCATTTCTTATGTGATTGTAAATTAAAGTGGGAAGTTTGTTCACAAATTTTGCTTTCAATAAGGAAAGGATTTTTCATTTGGAAGTTGAGATTTGTCAAGTGTGCTTGCACCCAAAAGGTTTCAAGATATTTTGCTTAGAATAACAGTGAAGACCAGTCAGGAAGAAAGTGGAAGAGGTTTTGTCATCAAACAGTCTGTGTTTTTCAATTGTATGTGAAATCTTCCAGGTATAAAAGCTTTGCCAGCAATGATACGTGGTTGCAGCTTTTCCTGCTCAAACAGCTCAGAGGTGGCTGCTTGTGGTGAGGTGCTGGGCTCCTGAGTGTGAGGCA